AGTTTACAAAGGTTTAATAAAGCACACCTAACTAACCTGACAGAGGGTTAATTTAAAAAAAAAAAAAAAAAAATTAAAAATTTTTTTTAAAAGATGAGTTTTTAAAAAAAATTAAAAATTTTTATTTATTTTTATTTATTTTTTTATAATATAAATTGTATATTTTTAGATATTTCTCTTTTTTTTTTCAGTTCATCTTCTTTATAGTTTCCTATATTCCAGTGATTTAGCAAGATATATAACAGTAACAACCTGTTAGCAATAATAAATAGACTAGAAGAATCTTTATTTAAAGTCTATTAGATTAAAATAGCTGTAATATGTATCATACTGCTCAAATAAAAATATTAATTAATTAATAAAGTATAATCTAGCCTGGCTGCTATACCAATTATCTGTTATTTTTAAAAAAATTTTTTTACTTTCTAACTTTAAGTACAGTAGTTAATTTTCACGGTATCACGTGGATGAGGAAAAAACCAGATAACGATAATTTTCATCTTTATTGATCCTCGATTCATGGCCCTTTCATCTGTTTCTAATCTTCCTAGCATATGCAAGGGAATATCAAGCAAATTTTCGTTTTTTTCTGTAAATAGGAAATTTTTCTTTAATCGAACGCTCACCTTTTTGCAATATCATGATTTTTATTCAAAAAATTCTCCTGGCCTTGTTCAAAACGTCCGTAATAAAAAGCCTTCAGAATTGAAGTTGAATACACTCAAGTTTGTCAGAGGTCATAAAACGGTGAAGAAGGTCGAAGTTGTGAAAACAGAACGTGTTAACGCTCTACTCGGTCTCGATAAGCCGTAGGTTTTGTTTACGTGCACGAAAGATCGAAATATGTGTTATTCACAGGAGTGATTACAAATATTAGGAAACCTAAGAGTAAACGAACAATTAAAACAGAATTGGAGAAAATAAAACCACACCCAATAGAAACCCCTTGGCAGGTTGATTTTAAATTATTGAAAGGCTCGTGTTTTTACCTGTACATAAATTGTTTTATGGCGTATTATTTTCCGTATTGAATTTTTTTTAATCAAATAGACGTCACAGCATGGATGGAAAAATTGGGAGTTGGCGAATACGCATCAAAATTTGGCAATAAACATTGGAAAGAAATTATCGAAATGGGTCACGAAGATTTGGAAATGATCGGAATTAATTCAAGTAGAGCCCGTAAAATAATGTTGGATAACTTTTGGAAAGTCAAGAAAGTTTTGGTGAGTCGTGTGTATGATTTATTAAAAAGAGATGTCAAGGATGATGATCAAGCACATTTACTTAATTTGATTTATTAGGCTGTCAAAGAAGATTATCTTTTGCAATTACCAAAGTCTCTCTTAAATCTAACTGATGAAGAAGAACGTCAACTGTCAAAAGAAGAAAGGTTTAAACTTTATTATACTTATATTAGAGTCGATTTCAAACTACTGGAAGGTATCATAATAATGTATTTATTTATCTATTTGAAAGCATTTATCAGAGAAAATGGGTCCAATATAACAAATCCCTTTATTTAAATCTCTATATCGAATAAATGGATAGACTTTCCTGCTTGGCTAAAGGGATTGAAATTAGGGCGATTTGAATCAAACTTTAAGGGAATGAAATGGAAAGATATCATCCAATTAGATGGGGATGAATTAGAACAACTGGGTATTAAACCAAATGCAATACGTATATTGCTACTTAGAAATTTTCGAAGGATCATGAAAGTTATGGTAATATGATTATTTAATTTGGTGCCTTTTGAGTGCATTATTATTATTGTTATTAATGTTTTAATAATAGAAACTAGTGAATATGGATTTACCACCACCAATACAAAAAACTACATTGAACAAAAAAGTTTTCACGAGGAATAAAGAAATGTCTGCTGAGGAAAAAAAAAATATACCGCAATGCATATCATGAAGTTGATTGGAACTTGTTGGAAGGTTTATTGATCTTCAGTTATCCATTACTTATTTATTATTTTTATTATTCTTTTTAATCTGGTCTTTGAATTAGATTTCCCATCTTGGCTAAAAGGGTTGGGTTTTTCAGAATTTTCGTCATGTTTTGAAGGGATGCGCTGGAGGGATATTATAGAAATGGATTATGATAAATTAGAAGAAATTGGTGTTGATTCGAATTGTGTTCGAAAGTCACTAATAAAACATTTTTGGGCCGTTAAAAAAGCTTTGGTTTGTATTCTATTACAAAATGATTTTTTATTTCTGCTTTTTTCAATTTCCAGTTATTTCTCATTCAAAGAAATATTGTTCATTGTTCTTTCACAAGGTTCTCAAAGAAGGCTATGTATTACCATTTCCGAAAAACCTCCTAAAGGTGCAAGGAATTTCAGAAGATACCATAAAAGAACCTGAGGATCGTCTGAGAATCATCAATTCATTTTATAATATTGATATGAAAATTGTGGAAGAAAAAAGTGCGTATGAAACGTAACATGTTGATTATATAAATAATTTGGTGAAACGTTATCAACATTATTCACCTATTTATGAAACGGTCAAAATAGACATTCCAGCGTTGTTAGATTCCATAGGTCTATCAAGATTTGCTTTAAAATTCCGAGGTGTCGTATGGAATGATGCGATAAATATGGATTATGCTGCGTTAGAGAAAATTGGAATTAACTCACATCTAGCCCGGAAAATCATATTCAAGAAATTCCAACGTGTCAAATTGGCTATGGTGATCTATCCCATTTATATGCGTTTAGAAACTTCAGCAATCACTAACTTTCCCATTTTATATTTAACCAGGAATAACAAAACCTTCTAAATAAGAGTTGTTGGTTTCTTTCTCAAGTATAAGTCAAATTATCTCTTATTTTTTTTTGTTGCGGAGATTAATAAAAGTTGAAATCACCACATTTGGAATTCAAATTTAATATAGGAATAGTCGAATGTACAAATTAATTCGACTTATTTTAACTCTTAATTGCGATTACTATAAGTTTAATGAATCATCAGTCTTATATATGGAATTTGCTCATTTATAAAACAAATTGTTCCGATGTAAATAAAACTTAAATTACCAAAACCTTTAGATGTACTTGAGTGCATCATAGTAAATGGTGTAATCTTGTTTTTTTTTTTTTCAATCTAATTAATTGATAATTAAATTGAATTCTTTATCATTTACCCAATACAATCCATACTTTTACTGATCTTGTTTTTTCTTGTTATCTTCATTTTTTGATTTTTTTCCCTCTATTTTATCGACATATTCGAATTTTCTAGAGTCTAGTTCCAACGTCACCGGGCCCTGTTTTATACTAGGTTTAGTGACATGTTAATATAGTGCTAGAAGTGTCAAGTAAATAACGCATGTACCTCATTAACAATATTAACTTGCATCATTGCTCCAAAGATTCCATCTTGAATACAAAATATAGTAAATGGTTAAAAATTTAGTGTAATTAATCAGATGTCTTCGCCTATACCTTTAATTCGGTTCTCAACGTATTCTTCCTTCATTCGCTGTAAGAAAGTTTCATACATTACTTTTGAAAGCTCGCTCTTCATGGAGTTATGAAAGTCTGGTTTGAAACCTGAAGTAACATTGCACATTTTCGCTCAAAAATCTTTAATTCCTTTTTTTTTTTTTTTTTTTTGCATTATAAAAAAGAATTTTTTTGGTACCTTTCGTTACACTGCCATATAACGTGAATTGAGACACTTTTATGATAAATTAGTTTCTTGCTAAATGGTCTTTTGAATTGAACAATTTTCAGAATTTACCGCATAAAATTTCCAATTCGGCATCTCTAACGCTTCTCTTCCACCATTTCTCACCAGCCTTATCTTCAAAAACTCGGACGTTAAGAATTTTCTTCACCATATATTCTACATCTTCTTGAGTATCATCGTTAGCGATGCCGAGAAGAATGCAAATCCCCCGGCCTATAGAAGAAACCACTTGGTCATTTACTAAAGAGAATTAAAATTACGAAACTTTAGGATCCCGGATTGTAAGCACAAGAAGAGTAGTATTATAAACTTGATTAATAAAATTATACCTGTAACACTTGCATTCGAGACTCGTTGGAGAACTGCGCGCATATTTCTTAATGATTAAAGCAGATCAATGAGAACTGGTCTTATCAACGATCGACAAATTTGTTTAATGACAAACGAAAAATGCAGCACCAATGAGATTATGGAAATTCGTTGATACAAACATTCATTCTTTCGACAAAAAGAAACATCGTAGTACTTTACAAGCATACAAGTATTAGATATATTAAGTTTATATAAGCTTTAGGTAACCTTTTCTGTTATATTGTTGCCGTTCTGTAAAATCTAAATGTCTGCAGTATTTTTAAAGAAAAATAGTAAACATGTAAATAAGAATGCGTCATGTTATATATGTATTATATCGTGTTTATATATTACGTATTGATTATTTTTTAAAAAAAAATTTTTTATCCATTTTTATATACTTTAGTATTCTTGTTAGTTAAAATATTATTCGAATTACTAAAATGAAACAACATTATTTTGATTATTTAGTATTTATATAACTCCGGTTTTTTATTTTGGCATCATATTCTAATAGTTATGATAAATACAAGGAAAGAGCCGTAACGGCTTTAAAATTTTGTTATTTCTATTTATTCTATAACAAATAAAATTTTGATTAGATTTGTATTAAAAGTTTAATTTTGATTTGTAATATACTGACTAATCTTTTATAAGTCTCATTTAACAAATTTCATCATAAAATTCAGCATACTAAGATTTGACAAATCTTGACAAAATTTATTAAAATTTGGTGATCCACATTTGAAAGATGTTTCCATAAAGCAATGGTTGCATATATAGGTAATTATTTTTGAAAGTGAATCAAAAATTTTTAGGGTTCTAAATTATATTCCCAAAAATAATAATTCGAAATTATAACCTTTAAAATTATAACCCTAAAATTATAACTTTAAAAATTTTACATTCTTTATTTTTTTATTATTTTCTTTAATTAAAATTATATTAAATAAAATAATAAAATATAAAATAAATATAAGGTAAAACTTGCATGGAAGGAAAATAGCCGAACCCAAAGCCATATATAGCTATTACCTATACTTTGGGTTCACCTTATATTTTGATTTATATATTATATATACTTGAAATTAAAAATTTAACTTTATTAATAATTAGTAATTGAAATTAAAAAAATTTTTTTTATTGATAGCTTAAAATTAAAACTTTAAAATCACTATATTTTGATTTAAGTTTACCTTAAATTTATAAAACCATTAGTTTTAAAAAATTGTTATTAAAAATAAAATTAAAAAATTAAAATTCTTACTATTATTTTTTTGAGAATTTAATTTTTTAATAATATATTATTTGTTAAATTTCATTGAATATTAAAAAAATTATTTTATAAAGTATATTTTAATTTCAAGCATATATAGAATATAGTTGAAATTATAGTCTTATATTTCTATAGGAATTGGATAATTGTTAATATTTTTACTTGAGTAAGTAATCTTTATCTATTTCTATCATCTATTATTATTGAAATATCATTTGCTTTTTGCTTAGATATAGTATATTTGGTTTTTCTTGTATTTTATATTTTTTTAATTTTAAAGAAAATTTCCTTATAATCTATAATATTAAATATACTAAGAGTTGAAATACAGTATATAGTTTATTATTAAGTTACAAATAATAAATATGAATAAAAATCATCTATTATTAATTTATTAATAATAGTCTTTAATTTTGTACGTAAATAAATTTCAAAGGAGTAATTATTATAAGATTGTATTTTATTTTTGAAATATTAATTAATTCTTCAATAGTATAAATATTTTGGATTGTATTTCCTTCAATAGACCATCTTGATAATATACCAAAAAAGTTATCAACAATATTTTTTCCATGATATTTAACAAAATAATTAAATAAAAACTTTTTGTCATAAATAGAAGGTAAATAATTAAAAATAAAATACATTAATTCTGCTGAGCGAAAATGTGGGCCACAATCTGACCAAAAAGATATTTCATTAAATTATGACATAAAAGGTTTTGCAAGAAGTTTTTTAATACAATCAGTTATAAATAATAAATTATGGCTTAAAATTTTGAAAAAAAAATCAAAATATTGTGTTTGAATTATATTATTGTTATTTTTATAAAAAATAACAAATCCT